TCAAAATCTGGAAGGCCCATTATGGCGGCTGGGTCATAAATGTGGTATTTTTCACATTCTCATTTATTTTTAGTGTAAAATGTAAGTAAAAATAGTTTTCTTACATATTTCAAATAACTTGACGTTGTATTTATTTCAAATTCAGACAAAACTATTTTAGAAATATTGTTCTAAATGTCACACAGATAAAATATGATTATTTAATTTTTTTAATTTCTTTATATTTTAATATTTTGGTACGAGTAACGAATGGAAACACATAAAACATAAAAATATACATATTTCCAAACATTTTCATATAAATTTCTCTAAAAACAAAAGTGTAGAATTCAAATTAGTAGTAATTTTGTCACTAAAATTGAAGTATATACCACTATACAGCTATACAGTGTAATTTACGTATTTTATTACAATTTCTAGCAACCAAAAATAATTTTATTCGATAGTTTATACATTCAACAAGAATTCCTGTAAGTTTTATCGATAAATATTGTCTCAAAGTGAAAATATAGCAAAATTTGCAATATAGCAAAAAATTTGCTAATTTTCAAATTTTGCCGCGATTACGGTCCCGAGCGAACGGGATTATAACATGTCGCGCGCTGTCAGAGCTTACAGGGTCAGTATTTATTTATAAGCAAATGTTAAAAAATTTCATCACAGATTTTATATTAATTTTAAACAAAAGCAAATATCTTAAGGACGCGTTTGCAAATCAACCAAAATTAGGGTGTTTTTCGGTAGATTTTGTGACAAAACTAAACCAAATCAAATATAAGTAAAAACTACCATGTATAGATTGGTTCTTCATTTGCAAATGTCTGTAACTCTTTTGTTGAAAATAGTAGTTTTTTATATTGTAAAAACGAACTTTCGTTGCCATTTTCTACAAAATTAACGATACCGGCTTGTGTTTCGGTACATGTTTTGGTCTATTATCAACATATTTAAAAAAATTTAAAAAATACTATAAGATGACAGACATATTCAATTAAAAAAACCCTGGGTTTATTTTTTAACAAAATGTCACAAATAGTCGTAAAAAAAATAAAAATTGATGCACATTTTTTCACATATTTTGGTAATACGGATGAATCATAATGTATTGCAATAAGGACTATTTTATTGTTGGTGCCTGCTTTGATTTATTGTACAAAGATTTCGATGAAACCGCAGTCCGCGCTCGGCCGCCGTCGTGAGTGGACACTGTACCGCCTGTTTGCAGCGGCTCATTCTGAAAAGATCGCTGTACATACACAAAATATTAGAAAAAAACAAATTGGAAACATAAGTACTTGACAAGTGACAAAATTATTATTTTTATACTCACAGTTTTTATTTAGCTAAAAATAATTAGGATATATAAACTTACCTACTACTGCAACTCGTGGACGAGCGGAACTAGGTGTGCCGAGTTTGGGCTCGTTTTGTTCGTTAGAATGAGACCTTACCTCTGGACTTGATGGCATGACCTGAAGGTGTACTTTCGTGACCGCTATTTGAACTTCTTGCAGAGTAAAACTAGGGGTGACGAATTTGGGCTCCGTTTTGTTAGTTATGACGAGTCTATACCTCTGGACTTGATGGAGTGACCTGAAGGTCTAAATCGGTGATTGCAACTGGAACTCCTAGACTGGTAGAACTAGGTGTGCCGAGTTTGGGTTCGTTTTGTTAGTTACGATGAGACCTTACCACCGGACTTGATAGAGTGACCTGAAGGGGTAATTCAGTAACTACTGCTGGAATTTCTGAACGAGTAGAACTAGGTGTGCCGAATTTGGGCTTCGTTTTGTTAGTTATGACGAGTCCATACCTCCGGACTTGATGGAGTGACCTGAAGGTGTAGTTCAGTGATTACAAGTGGAACTCCTAGACTTGTAGAACTAGGTGTGCCGAGTTTGGGTTCGTTTTGTTAGTTACGATGAGACCTTACCACCGGACTTGATAGAGTGACCTGAAGGGGTAATTCAGTAACTACTGCTGGAATTTCTGAACGAGTAGAACTAGGTGTGCCGAATTTGGGCTTCGTTTTGTTAGTTATGACGAGTCCATACCTCCGGACTTGATGGAGTGACCTGAAGGTGTAGTTCAGTGATTACAAGTGGAACTCCTAGACTTGTAGAACTAGGTGTGCCGAGTTTGGGTTCGTTTTGTTAGTTACGATGAGACCTTACCACCGGACTTGATTGAGTGACCTGAAGGTGTAATCAGGTGGTTACAAATGGAACTCCTAGACTAGTAGAACTAGGTGTGACGAGTTTGGTTTCGTTTTGTTAGTTACGATAAGACCTTACCACCGGACTTGATGGAGTGAAATTCGGCACACCTAGTTCTACTGGTTCAGAAATTCCAGCGGTAGTTACTGAATTACCCCTTCAGGTCACTTCATCAAGTCTGGTGGTAAGGTCTCATCATAACTAACAAAACGAACCCAAACTCGGCACACCTAGTCCTACAAGTCTAGAAGTTCCACTTGTAATCACCGAACTATACCTTCAGGTCACTCCATCATGTCCGGTGGTAAGGTCTCATCATAACCTACAAAACGAACCCAAACTCGGCACACCTAGTTCCACCAGTCTAGGAGTTCCAGTTGCAATCACCGATTTACACCTTCAGGTCACTCCATCAAGTCCGGAGGTATGGACTCGTCATAACTAACAAAACGGAGCCCAAATTCGGCACACCTAGTTCTACTCGTTCAGAAATTCCAGCAGTAGTTACTGAATTACCCCTTCAGGTCACTCCATCAAGTCTGGTGGTAAGGTCTCATCATAACTAACAAAACGAACCCAAACTCGGCACACCTAGTTCTACTAGTTTAGGAGTTCCACTTGTAATCACCGAATTACACCTTCAGGTCACTCCATCAAGTCCGGTGGTAAGGTCTCATCATAACCAACAAAACGAACCCAAACTCGGCACACCTAGTTCCACTAGTCTAGGAGTTCCTATTGTTGTAATCACCAAATTACACCTTCAGGTCACTCCATCAAGTCCGCAGGTAGGTAAGGTCTTATTATAACTGACAAAACCAGTTCAAAGTCCAGAGCTAACATCTCACTACCAGTAGAGGGCTTCCAGTGCCAAGCAGTCTTTGGAGCAGGTATTCATATTTCGTATCGAAGTATATTTCTGAGGTAGGTATAAGAAATGAAAAACAAATTCAATCTTTCAAATTATCAAAATAATTTCATTTGACTACGATTCCCACAGCCAACCGTGCGTACACTAGTGTGTGTGTGACTTTTGTCAATGTAGTAGTGCGATTCTATACCTATCCATTTTGTAAACGCATCCTTAATTTCTGTTACACTTATTTTCTACTAAATAGATTTTTTTAAATAATTTGTAAAGCTACCTACAGATAGTGGCGACATCTAGTATGTGATGAACGAATTATTCGCTTGAAATTGAGAACAGTGTCACCTATTATTGTTAGTTGGAATAATACGATTTTATAATACGACTAAAATAAAAGGTAGTCAATATATATGGTTTTAAATAGTTTACTAAGTGAGTCTTAATTTTGCATAATAGCATTTCATGGGTTTCCAAGTTTTATGTTCTAAGATTGTAGAGCCTGGACATGAGTACAAAAAATGGGGAAATGAATTGCGTACTGCAAAATTACACAGTATACAAAAATCATTTAGTTCATACTCTGAAGTTCAGAGAGCAATAGTAATGCTGTGAATATTTTAAGTTTTCGATAGATAGCGCTATATAGTTTTGAGCTTATAAAGAAAACTACTAAATTGGTATCTTTTTTTATAAAGTAATACAATAATTTACAGTGTAAAGCAGTGAATATTAGATGTAATTAAATTTTTTTTGGGTCGGAGTAAAATTTAAAGGGTTTGAAACCTTTTTTTAAGGTTTTTGAATCTTTTATTCTGAATTTAAAAATCTTTTTATTTTGAATTTAATTATTTATTTGTACTATTACTGCAAAATCATACTGGCAGCACTAAAATGTAGTATTTTTTTCAAAATCAACAAAATCTATATGTACCATATGTACTCTGAACAAAATTTCAAAAATGTCTATTACTGATCATTTACTGATTACTGTTATTCTTGTGCTTGCATGGTGTATTAGTATTTTTGATTATTAATAAATCTAAGATTTTCTTCTGTGAATTTGTCGTTTGTTCCTCTGGTTTATATAATAACAGTCATATTTGTGCAACTGAGATAGGTAAGGCTCGTGTTTATTTTGTGTATATATTGTTTGTAATATAAAACTCTTATTTTGTTCATAAATTTAGTGTATTTTTGTACAACTGAGACAGGACTCCCTCTATTATAGTTTTAAGTGTATAATATTAGTAAATCTTGGTGTAATAATGTCTTCAGATAAACATTGTGTTCCCGGATGTACAGAAAATGAAGGTAATCCGTTCAGAAACTATGTCTTATGACTCTATTTTCATATCATTATTATATGTATATCTTTAATACGATTAGGATTAAGGCTCCTAAATCATATACTGTTAAACTTCATTAGTTAGGAGCTAAAATATCCTGCATCCCTAATCTTAGTGGGCTTATGCCCTTGCAGGTTTATTATTTTTAAGAAAGTTGATCATAAATTTTGTCCAAATTAGTACCCAATGAGGTAGTAGATGATTAAAAATAGATGCTGTTAATTATAATCAACTATGTGTTAATTCAGTTATATACATAACATACAATATAGTATTTATTTAAAAATGTTTCTAGTTTGGAATACTTTATATTTATAATTCTATGACATTAAAATCAGCAAATATGAAGATATTAATCAAATTTCTTTACTGATTCTAGGCAGAAAGCAAGTGCTGCATTGATTTCCAAATCCAATTAAGGAAAGAGAATGTTTCAATAAAAGGGTGTATGCAGTTGGTGGTGTTATTATAGGCCTAGAAAATGAGCGCATATATGAGTATCAACATGTGTGTCGCAGACATTTTGAAGTCAAGTATCTATGTCGCAGTAACAAAATTGCCAATACAGCTATGCCAACATTGTATATGCCAGGTATGTGAATATAATTTATTACATTTAATGCTTAAAAATAATTTATATAGTTAAAGCAATGTCTACCCATAAAGGAATTTATGCAGTAAAATTATATATTTATTAATATAATATAATTGAAATTTACACTGTTATAGTTTTACAGTCTGCCAAACTGCTCAGCAGTTTGTTGGTAGAAAAAATAATGCCAACACTTCAACAACTTCATAACATGCAAAAAATAGCTTAATACTTAATATACAATCATAAAAACACAAATGATATCAATATAACATTAATTAGCAATTTATATATATATATATATATATATATATATATATATATATATATATATATATATATATATGTGTAAGCATATATAAAAAAGCCATAAATAATTTTTTGTATATTTTTGTATAATGGATTATCACAATACAAGTTATTTACCTTATTTTTAATTGTGTTTTTGCTTTATGCATAAGGTATAGGTAATATTTCTGGTGTTATAAATTTTTTATATTAAATGTTGGAACATTCTTTTGGCAAAATAATTACCACATTTTCATCATCATTATTATGTTATTTACATGGTCTTAGCATATTCTCTTATACTATAGGATGAAGCTACTCAATGTGTTTAGTTTAGTTTATGTCCCCCCCCCCATCTTCATCTTCATGCTTCCCATCCTCCATGGAGCCCGCACCTTGGGGAACGCCCTACCTTAGTATAAAAATAATTTCAGCATTATGATTACTGGGGGAATATAGGGGAGCTCGATCCAGCTGGCAGATAGGGCTGAAAATGGCCATCTCCACTGCCTGAACAGACTTTCACTTGCTCCATTGGAATGGCCTTTACCACCACCTATCCCTTTTCAGGGAAACTATGCAGTCCCCCACATCCCTCGCCCGCAACCTTTTGACGGGACATTTGGCCATTTCCCTATGTGTGGCTAGCAGATAGGACGACCGTTTAGTTTGAAATCCAATAGTAAATAAATATAGAGGTTGACTGGCATAAACTCTGTCACTATACTTCAGACACCAACTCTTTAACTTTATGCTGCAGTGTTACCACCTAAATCGTGTAGATTAAGAATCTATCAATTGTGAATATATATTGTATAAAATGGTACCAAGGTACTGCCTATATCACCTCAGAACAGTTTCTTAGATATATTTTTAGGTTATTAGGGGTATGTTCCGAAATACAACCCAGTACACTGACAAATGCAAATGACGTCATCAATTGACACTATATTGTACTGGCGTGCCGACGCCATATTGCGTAGGTTATCCGGCCACAATAAAACAATTTTTAATTGTGTGTGTGTTGAATGAAGCATGCCAGAATTTGTTTCTATTTATTCAAATACCAAAAATTATAGAATAATTGTTGTTATCTCCATTAGGAGGATACAATGATTTTTGGTGTACAAAATGATCGCCAACACTTTTCCAATATGGCGCAAATGTCTGACGTTATATACTGTCCTATGTTTTGGAACGAATCACCAGTATAGCGTCGATGCATGACGTCATTTGCATTGGACAATACACTGGGTTCTATTTTGGAACATACCCTATGTCACCACACCAGGGAGCTCTGATATTAGTTGCAGGTTCTTAAAATTTGTCATTTATTTGAACTTGTACTAATTTCAATTCCAGGACCATTGACCCTTCCAAACTACACTTTTAGTGAAAGAAAACCTATGAATCTCATCCAGACTTACGATGATAATATTCTAAAACCAGCAACATCAACAGGTAAAATCCATATTAATTTAATAATATTATAAAAGTGCTTAACCTATTTTGTCGAAATTTCGTACATAGATAGCTTGCATCCAAGATATTACTTACTACTTTGGCTACTTTTTAGTCTGGAAATTCAAAGAGTTGCCATGACAATTTTTAAAAACCTCAATTCACACATTTTTGGCATATACTATGTGATATGTATATCTAGAGATTTTGTGCTATAGTGACAGTACTACATAATATAAATAACTACATAGTATTTTGTATAAATTTTAATAGTTAGGCACTAAGAGTTCCTCATCATTATATCAACCCAATACCTGTCCACAAATAAACATAAGTCTCCTCTCCATGCTTTCCAGCCCTAATAACAACTACCTCTCTAACTGTACAGCTCTTATATTATATTTTTAAGATGCCTGTGAAAAACAGACATATGGAGAGATCTATAAAGATGCCTTGTTTTACTATGGAACCCTAAAAACTCCTTACAAAAGATCTGAACATTGGAAAAAAAATAGTAACTAATGTCAAATTAATTTTAACTTATATTATATTAAATTAAATTCTTATTACATATTAAAAAAGTCACTGGCGGGCCTCAAACTAGGCATAGCCTGTATCTTGGGGACCAAGAGTACGGTTATCAGTTTTACTTACGTAGTTAAAAGTTCCCAAGTTATACAAAACAACAAATTATTTCTTAATTTAGGAAGATAGTTTTTAACTATTTGTCGCTTGCATTATTATTTATTGTTTATTCCTAGAAAAAATATGAATACAATATTTTTAAGTAAAACGTTGATATAATTTGGTATTATTTTTGCCTTAAGTTTTCAGTATCATTATAATTTAGTGTGGTGAAATATCTTTTTACTATTTGTTTAGCTTTCAATTTCGTACAATTTTTGATGTCACAGACTTTAAGTATTTTGTTATAAATATGAGGATGTGAGAACTGTGGAAGACTTTGCGCGAAAACAGACCTAGCAGCTGGAATTGGTATTTTAAATATATGTTTAGTGATTAGGTGGTCGTAAATAGGCGACTGAATTACTTGCCCATGGGTTTTTAATACTGCAGATAGAATAATAATAATGTCCTCCAGACCAAATTTCGAACACGGCGGCCTGCCTCAACGGAGGCTAGCCATCGGCGCAGTACAGAATTATAGTGCCCAAGTATAAGCGCAAGCACAGGTGCACTCTCTATTCCCTCACTCTCATAATCCGATGGGATCGGAGAGATCAGGCGCAGGACCAACGGCTTTACGTTCTTTCCGGGGCACGGGGGTGAGACACCGCCAACTTCCTGACTCCGGGCAATTACTGAGAATTTCTTGACGCAAAACTCAATAATTGATTTTTGGCCCGACCCGGGATTCGAACCCAGGACCTCATGATCAGCAGTCGCACCACTACAACCACTAGACCAACGAGGCAGTTGGTGCGGATAGAATATACAACTGGCGTACACTCAAAACCTCGCTATCCCGATATAGATCGGCCGTCGGGTACCGGTAGGGCTTTTTAAACATGACCTTGAGAACTGCTCTCTGTGCCTTCTCCAATTGAATCTTGGTTGTTTTGGAGGCACCACCCCAGGCTGATATACAATATTGTATTATATTGTATTGATTGACAGAGGGCAAAATAAACCATACGTAGTGATCTTTTATCAGCACAGTTCCGAAGCAACCTCATGATGTAAATAACCTTCTTGACTCGATTTGAGAAGTATCAGATATGCTGTTTGATGAACAGGTTGGACTAATTACTTACTGTATGTATAGATAAGGATCAAAATATCCTTTGGGCACTACTGTGTAAAAATGTTTAATCTGGAATTATGATATTTTTTCATGCAGATGATTTAATTTAAAGCCTGGGGTAGCCTAACTCGAAATACTAACTTACATCCAACTATACAAGCCCGATAGCCCCGATAGCTCTGCCTTATTCATCGTCAAAATAATTATAACATTTGACCTTATTTTGTTTTGTTTGAGATTGTCAAAATTTTACTCCTTCATGTATGAAAATGAGCATGCTAGAAGATACCTTACAAAAGGAGAATATTGGTTGGTACTTGGTACTCATTTATTTTAAGTGAAGTCAAATACTAGTTAGTACGAATATTTAGAGCATGTAGCACATAATTTTCAATAGGACTGTATCTAATAAACATCATGATTATTTATTATTTTTATACACAATTATTTTGGAGTCAAGTATAAGTTTTAGAGTCAAGTCAACTTTATATTCAAATTCAATAAGTCAAATAGAATTTAGTAGACATGGAGACTTCACTTTGCCCATACCAAAATACATTATTAAATCTTCGTAACGAGCTAGAGTGCCTTCTCAACAATTGCATTAGATACATTTTCAGTGTTCATAAGTATGTTTATATTTCCCACTATCAGTCTGCCTTAAATGGCTCACTGTAAAATAAAGGCGTGACTCAAGTATTTTGCTTGTTCTCTTCTTTATCTAAAACGATCCATCCACTGCTTATCTCGGGGACAAATTTCAATAGCTTTCCTATATGCATGATAGAACTCCAGATGGTAAGTGGGTGCTGTGGCCCGGCTCATAGACATCTACATTTATTCTCGATAAAGAATCAAATGAAAATACCTTGTAAACCCCTAAGGACAAAAATGGAATGTCTCGTTTCCTGTAAAAGGATCTTTGTTTGTCTACAGTCACCTTACATAACACAGCAACATTAAACTGCTATTTTAAGCTGAAATTCTGTTACAAGTGTGGTCCAACCCTGTCGAGCCAAACCATTTGTGCTATATTGCAATAAATAGCTGCAACATGACTCTACCATGTATAAAATTTTATGTTATATATTTGTACTTCAAATGTGTATTGTTATGATGAATATTTATTTTCTTTTTTTTAATTTTTTCCCATTTACAATAACGTCTTTTTTATTTTTGGCACCCATCACCTTGTTTCACATTTACGTCGTGGGTTCACTCGGAGATAATATAAAAAAGGCATTTTATTTGCCCTTTGTACGCCTTTATAATAAATTATTATAATATTATTTTCTACAATCCCAGATCCATCAGTCGAGGCAAACATTTCACAACCAAGTATTTCTACGATTGGCAATGTACCTACTGTCTCCATGTGCCATTGAAAAAAAATGATCTTCAGGAAAATGGTAAAATAATTTCAACTTTTAGTATTTTTTATAGTACATTATTTTTGAATTGTGCAATAAAAGTTATAACTAGCTAGCCTGAACTTATAAGTAATTACTGTACAAGTCGTGCCCGCATGGAATGATGGCAAGAATGCTAGCACAAATTCTGCGAGGAACAACCAGGCAAATCCTTTGGGTAAAAAATGAGCCAGCCCTTCTGCTCATCAGATTATGCTATTAACCGCGGTAAAATCTCCTGTTTGTTTGTTTTTTTTTTTTGCGCTCATTACTCCATGGCCCAATCGATTAACGACGACGACGTCGACTCCATCGCCGCCCCAAAGTCCAGTTTTATTAACCTCTTTCAATTTCAACTGAATATATTAATTATTCTAGACCAGATTCTTGAGTTTAAACAAGTCTCCTCCTAAATTACATATTTTAGTATGCATAATTGTAAGTTGTTAAATCTTTATCTGTGTAAAGAAAGAAAGACAAATTATTTTTAGAATAAAATCTGATACTTTGTTTATTTTCCAGATAAAAAAATAGTCATGCAAAATCACGAACGATTATTTATGACAGAAACAGAAATAGAACTTCATAAAAAAATTGTTGCAGCTAAAATACAAATTTGTAAATATAATACTAAAGCAAAGAGGCAGTCAGCCGAATTAAGAGCAGCTAGAAAATTTGCAACAAATCCTGAAAATTTAAATGCGATTGAAAATTGTACAACAGCAGCCAAAATATTAATGCAAATACAATGGCGAGAGAATAGCAAGATATTTAAAGGTCGGCGTTTACATTACAAGAAAAAGTTAATTGCTTGTCAATATTGAAACAAAGTCCTAAGGGATACAGATACTTAAGATAATTTTATTTTACCTGCTCGACAAACATTAATCGAAGTTTTGCAAAAAAACAAACTTACATCCTCGCATCAATCCAAACTTATTTGCGCAATTAAAAATAAAAGCAAATTCTATGACTGATGATCAAAAGCTTTCAATTAGGAAAAATATCATAACAGGGTTTGTGGATGACTGTCAACAAAGAGTACTCGAATTTGCAAACCATGCACAAGTTTTTATGCTGCGAGGTTTAGTACACAATTTTAAACAAGTTGTTGCCTATACTTTTTGTGCAGATGCAACAAAAGGAACCGAATTGGCAAAGCAATTAAGAAGTGTGGTGCACAAATTACAAGAAGCAGGATTTATTATAGTAGCCTCTATATGTGACCAGGGAACAAATAATTGCCAGGCTATAAAATTATTGTTAGAAGAGACCAGGGGTATATATTTAAGAAGAGGTGAAGAGCCCAAAGAGAAAGTCATATTAATGGATGACAAGGAAATGATACCTCTAAATGATCCCCCACACCTTTTAAAAGGCATGAGGAACAATCTGTTAACAAAAAAATTTAATTTTAGATATTAGAAAATTTTAAATTTTAGATGTCTAAAAACTATAGACGTTGAACATCTCAGTCTCTCTCGTGACCATGGGTGCTGTAAAGTGCTCGAACCGTCGGGTATTTAAAAAGTTAAGTATACGCGATAAAATCCGTAAAAACTAGTATTATTTAAATGTGTAGTGTTCGCGTAAATATAAGAAAGCTCGAAGTTGCTCAGCGAGCTATGAAGATGGAGTTACAACCTGGTAATACATACAGAAAGTTGATATCTATCTGATATCTAGTTGATATCTGCATCTGCAGGTGGCTCATGACCGCGCTTTGTAGCATTTCTTTGTTAAGCAGGAGACTTGTGAAGGGTTTCAATGATGACGAATGATAATAGCTTTATATTAATATTATACATAAATAGTAAGTTGCGGGTAGATGCCATCTATCCATAGAGTCCATTCTATTTATTTAGGTTTAGGTGGGGTATAGAATTTTTATCGATATATTCTGTCACACTGTCTTATTCCTATTATTAGTTCCGTAGACGTTCACTTTTGCTGTCAGCACTAAAATGGCGCAAATCAAATCGCCTCATCGTGTCTCGGTGTCAGTCCAGCGTACTTGTATATATAGAGGTCAGTGTTATAGGTATATTATATTCAGAGATGTCAATGTCAGAAAAATTTTATATATTATACTCTACCACATACAAAAATCTTTTATATGTTGTAAAGCCATGCTGCAGCCATATTAAGGTTTTAACACGAATGGGTCGGCTCGACCGGGGATGGACCACGCTCTCACAGAATACCAGCGTAAAATAGTAGCTTAATCCTGCTGTGTTTCGTATGGTAAGAGTAGACAACTGGAGACCCTTTTTCTGGAAACGAGGCACTCCATCTTAGTCCTAAGGGGTACCAACGCTTCTATATTTTGATTCTTGAGGAATAATGTAGATGTCTATAATCCACAGCATATTACTATCAGGTGGACTGTGTGCTCCTTTTTCACCTTTATTCTATAAAAAAAAAATACCACCACTAGATGTAAAATATCCAAACCAGTGAAAGGAAGTATGACCGACTAAAGGTCCGTTTATATCTACAGACATTGAGAGTGCCAGCCACGTGCCGTGGCAGACCAAATAATATTCTTCTATACAGTGTTTATTAACGTATTTATATCTATCGTGACACGGCCGCGCAGACGCCGACAGACACAGGCCGTGCCCGGCCAGTATTCGCGGAAAGAATATTTTGTCTGCGTCTTTTGTCTCGTTATATCTTTTAACATTTGATTTTATATTCGTGAATAACATGAACGACAAATATCGCCCGGTGTTAGAGAGATCATATCCATTTGTTGAAATAAAATACAGTCCCGCGAGCGATGATAATCGCTCTGAGGCGACGAGCATAATTTAGCGGACGTTAACGATGACGCGAAGTCGACTCGCGCACCGAACATGAACCGCGTTAATTAAACGAACGCTCAAAACGTCTTACCGCTTAAAACGTCTATGTCTGTACGTGTTTGTGGCTATCTGCCGGGCAGTGTGAATAGAGTATCGGGACCGTGCTAACGTGTTTTTTGCCATGAATAACGAACAGCTTATAGAAATTGTATAGGAATATAAATACCTTTATGATTTAACTGATAAAAAATTCGGTGACAATCAGAAAAAGGATCAGGCGTGGAACGAAATAGGAATAAAACTTAAAAGGAATGGTAAGCACATATTTTATTTTAATATTAAATAATAAGATAGCTATTAGCTTAACGCTCCTTCTGGTGAATCGAAAAACCTAGCAAAATTCTCTCTGACATTGAATGCGGCAGCCTGATAATTGCCGCCCTGTCTAGGTAGGTTTGATAAAGAATGTGATGACGTGTTTTCTTCATTATTCAAATGCTGAACACCACCGGATTTTATATAATTATGTAAGATACACGTCGTCATAACAACTTTGTCAGCATTATCAGGATGAAGTTGTATTCTTCTGTTATAGAGACGAAATTTTTTAGCTAAAATCCCAAATGCATTTTCGACAACTTTTCTTGCATGGGATAGTCTATCATTGAATGTGCTTTTTCTTTGGTCACATAGTTGAGATTTAGGATATGGTCTCATTAGGTAGGTTCTTAAAGGGAATGCTTCATCTCCTATGATAACATGTGGCGCTGTAATTTCAGTGCCAGGTAAATATTTGCTTTCCGGGATGTTAAATGTGTTTGACATTAATGCTTTTCCAATGTTTAAATTTGAAAAAAATACCTCCGTCACTATTTTTCCCATAAGCACCAACATCGACACATATGAATTTGTAATCAGCGTCTACAATTTCCATACGCTTGAAAAAGTTTTTTTATAGTTAAAGAACTGATATCCGGAGTTTGACGGAGCAGTTATTACAACATGCTTGCAGTCAGTGGCTCCGATATAGTTCGGAAAATTCCAAGTATTCCAAAACTACTCTGCGATTCTTAGCCACTGTTCTTTTGTAGGGAGAGGCATTGTTTCCTTCATCATCCGTTCTATTATTTCACTGCAAACCTCTTTCACTATCTTGTGCACGGTGCTTACTCCTAGTCTATAACTAAATGCTATAGAAACGAAGGAGTCCCCAGTAGCTAAAAATCTGCAAAGAAAAACATTATAATATTATTAATTTGTTTCCTTATTTCAGGAACAGAATGTAAAAAAGCATGGGCATTGCTGCGAGATGCCTTCACACGTTCTATTCTCGTATTCTCTCTATTATTCGTATAGAGAAAAGATACTAAAAGTGGGCAGGCTAGTATTCCTGACAAAAAATGGAAGTATGAAGATGAAATGTCTTTTTTGTTACCGTACATGAAAGAAAGACCGACTATATGTCCAATTCCAACAATACCAGCTTTTGATGACGACAACGCTAACGAAGAAGAGAATATTGCTCAGTCACCTGAAGTTGGGCAACAAACGACTGACACACCGCCGTCTACACCTGAGGTTCGTCAACAAATGGCTGGTACATTGCTAACTACACCATCACCAACTACAACTGAAAACTACCCTCAGCCAAAGCGCACTAAACGAGGCCAAAAACAAACTGAGGAAACACCTAGCACAGTACTAATGAAGTATATAATAGACAGTAAGAAAAATACTCCACCACCGGATGACATTGAACAATTTATGGCTGGGATTACAACTACCTTGCGATCTTTTCCGCCAAGAGACAGGGCTATTGCAAAAGCCAAGATATTTGAAATAGTCTCTCGCATGGAAATAGATATTCTGAGCAGGCTATCCACAAGTAATTCTATGGTATCCACACCATCATCGTATAACTCGAACTATGCAGAAAATAGTCCTATGCCAGATACAATGCAGGACTTCCCCTAAGGATCTTTTTCACCAGATACAGAGGAACTGACATATGAGCGCTTAGAATAATATTAATGAATGATTCCACCATGATACAAAGAAATTCTCTAATAAATCTTACCTGAGACATACTGCTAGTTTTTCTTTTGGTGACAAGGCTTCCTTGAAAACTGTATCTTGTTTGGTTATCAGCAGTTCTATTTTCTTTAGTAAAATATCAAACTGAAACCGACTCATACGAAAATACAAGAAAAATTTTTCTTCATCGTCAATAAGTTCTTTAAACAGTGTCCAATATTCTCCTTCTAATTTTCTCTTCTTGAGCGTAGGATGAACTGCCATGCGTTTTGCTCTTTTTTTAGTTTTATCCCGGTCTTCTTCTTCTAATAACAATGCAATTATTGCTAAATCTTCCACAGAAACGTGTCTAAACATTTTCTGCAAAAATAAACGTGCTTTTCCTACTAAAGCTATTCAATTACTGCCAGTGAGAGCGGTTGCGTCTGACGCCCACGATGGTGTCTGTCGATGTCTGACACGACACACTTATAGCACGCTAGATGTAAATAAACGATGTCTGTGGGTGTCTGCCACGACACTTGTCTGTAACGCACTGTGTCTGTAGATATAAATGTTCCATGCACGAGACGTGAGGTACCTCGATAGTTTTTCTTCCTGGCCCTTCTTCATACGCATTTATGATCGTTAACCAGCTATAACTATTTTACATAGATCAAAAGTAAGGTCAGTTCACTCTTCCACCCTTTTTCACAAAGATAATCGAAAAGAACGACCTCAGTGACCTTTTCTGCTTAACATCAACACTTACGGGCGTAAATGTAGGTAAGACCACGCTCTCACAGAACACCAGCATGAAACCGCAAAATAATGATACTTCGTTTTGTGTGGTGAGTGAAGAGAAACAAAGACGTAGACCTTAGGGGTGCGAACGCACATGCATTTTGATTTTTATTCTCAACGTATGACACTTATGTAGCTGTATATGGGCAATCGCATCCACTTACCATCAGGTGAAATGTGTGCCCGTTTGTCACGTTTATCTTATATTTTCACAATTATTCTATACATTCACATATATAATATGAGACACTAACTCTGTTTGACACTTCATCTTAAGCTTGTTTCAGTGCGATGAATCCACGAAAAACTTTGTAGGGGATGGTTAGTATTGTTATATTAGTAGATGTTGTTTGCATGCTCCGTGAGTAGCATGCAAGCAACATGCGCAAACGTCATTTGAACATCTCACTGGTGAAACTGTTATTAGATATTAAAGTGTATGATATATTCAAAAAAGTGGTTATTATATTAATCTCGTTGGAGTTTAAAATAGTTACTCAACAGTGGTAGAGCCACGCGGCAGCTTTGGTGTTGCACGTATGGGCCGCCTCAAACCGGGGTGGTACCACGACCTCACAGAATACCGGCGTGAAGTGGAAGCTCTGCTTCCGAGTTTTGTCTGGTGATTGCAGGTGGCCGGAGGCCCAATTTCCCCCCCCCCCCCATCAACATGGTAGCGGAATTAAATGATAATATACTGAGCATCCACGACCATGTTTCTCCACTCCTGAGCGTGGGTGCTCAGGCTGCCCCGCGTATTCTGGGGGGTGGGGACTAAATTCCGCTCCAGACTACAACTGCTCGGGGCAAACGAAGCAACAAGACCAAAGCGACCCCTGCTACGCTATCCGTGAATGTCTGCAATACTCGTATCAGGGGATTTCACTCTAACCTAAACGCCGTCCACTACCATCGAGACGACGAGGCCGGATCTGCTCTTTCTGACTGAGACGCAGGTGTCCTCTCGGCTGATGTCTCGTATCTCTCCTACCCGGGGTATAAACTGGAACACTCCTTTGAGCTTCGGGCTGGAGTTTGTATTTACGTCAGAGAGGACATCTGGTCTCGACGCCTCAGCAGTCTTGAAGGATCGGACCTGTCCATCCTTTGGCTACGCGTAGACAGCGATGACCATCCGCGCGTCTACGGGTGCCTCTATAGGTCCCATAGCGGTAATGTCGAAACAGACCGACTCTTCGACCACGTCCAAATGGCTACAGATTCGTTGCTACAACAGATCCCCTCCGCAGAGATCGTGATCCTCGGCGACTTTAACGCCCATCACGCCGAATGACTTGGTTCACGTTTAACCGATCATGCGGGGAGATCTATTCATGATTTTGCCTTGGCATATGGTCTGACACAACTGGTTACTTCGCCTACGCGGATTCCAGATGTGGAGGATCATGCACCTTCCCTGTTGGACCTTCTACTGACCTCTCACTCGGAGGATATCAGATTTCCGTCGACGCCCCTTTAGGCTCCTTGGACCATTGTCTTGTCCGGAGGGTGGTGCCACTCACGCTGAAATTGCAGTTGCATTCTGCAGGCTGCCGCCGTGTTTGGCACTATAGGTCAGCCGATTGGGGTGGGATGCGGTCTTTCTTTGCATCCTACCCTTGGGGGGGGGTTTGCTTCTCGCCGGACGATCCCAACGTTGTTGCGGATTCTGTCGCTGATGTGGTACTTCAGGGTATGGAACTTTTAATTCCTTCCTCTGTGGTGCCCATTGGAGGCAAATCTCAGCCATGGTTTGGTCGCTCCTGTAAAATGGCATCATGCTATAAGCAGGAGTGCTACCAAGCGTGGGCTGCCACATCAACTTCCCGGGATGTAAACACCAGCGCTCTGAAAAAGAAGTATAATTCCGCCTCTAGGTATTTCAAAAGAGTCATTGCCAAGGCAAAGTCAGAGCACATAGGCAGAATTGGCGAGAAACTAGTTCACCTTCCTTCTGGAACCCGTGCATTCTGGTCGCTCGCCAACGCTGTCCTGGGGAATATCTGTCAACCATCTCTTCCATCTCTGCACAGGGAGGACCAGTCACTGACCCATACCGCAAAGGAGAAAGCCGATCTGCTAGGCTCTTTCTTTGCGTCCAACTCGACTCTCGATGACGGAGGGAGTACGCCGCCGACCATCCCGCGGTGTGAGTGCTCCATGCCGGAAGTGCAGTTTACACAGCGCTCGGTTCGCAAAGCACTCCTCTCCCTGGACATCCACAAGTCGAGTGGGCCTGACGGAATCCCCCTAATTGTGCTGAGGACGTGTGCTCCAGAGTTGGCACCGGTTTTAACGCGTCTTTTCCGGTACTCCTACTCCCTAGGCGTAGTCCCAAAATCATGGAAGACGGCTTTCGTCCACCCGATCCCAAAAAAAGGCGACCGCTCAGACCCGTCCAACTACCGGCCTATCGCCATCCAACTTGAGGATAACCAGCTGATTAGTGATCGCCAATACAGTTTTCGTCGTGGTCGGTCAGCTAGTGATCTTCTGGTCTACATAACTCACAGATGAGCGCAGGCAGTAGAGTCCAAGGGGGAGGAATTGGCCGTTAGTTTGGACATTGCGAAGGCCTTTGATCGGGATTGGCACAAAGCGCTTCTTTCGAAGCTCCCTTCCTATGGGCTTCCCGAGAAATTGTGCGATTGGATCACCAGATTTCTTGCAGATCGGAGCATCAAGGTCGTTGTACACGGTACAAGCTGCGATTACAAGCCTATAAATGCTGGTGTTCCACAAGGCTGCGTGCTATCGCCAATGCTGTTTCTTCTGCATATCAATGATATTTTGCAAACCCGTAACCCGACAGCACTGGTGATGCTCTTTACACCGGCCGTGCCAATATTTCTCGGGAAAACGTCTCCGAGTACCGGGACAAACTTGTGTCTGAAGTCGAGTCTTTGCTGAACAGAGTCTCGGATTGGGGGCGACTAAATTTAGTCCAGTTTAACCCCCAGAAGACACAAGTTACCCCTTCCCCCCCCCCCTTGTTACCTCAGCCAGTATCTGAATCCTCGGCGTGGACATATCGAGTGACGTGCAGTTTCGTGGTCACTTGGAAGAGAAGGCCAAATTGGCCTCTAAAAAGCTTGGCGTGCTCAGCAGAGGGGGACAGTATTTCATGCTAACACACCGCCTGCAACTTTTCAAGGCACAGGTTCGGCCGCACATGGAATAATGTTCCCATCTCTGGGCTGGGGCTCCCCGGTACCATCTCCTTCCACTTGACCACATCCAGCGCAGAGTGGCTTGAATTGTCGACGACCGAGTGCTTTCCGATCGGCTCGATTCACTGGCGCTGCGAAGTGATGTTGCATCTCTTTGCATTTTCTTTCGCATATACCATGGAGAGTGCTCTGAGGAATTGTTCGGATTAATCCCAGCCGCCAAATTTCGTGAACGCACTACGCGGCAAACGTCCCGATACCGGTTTTTTTTTTACCCGTACCCGGATGACCGGTTTTTTTTTTTGAAATTACATTTAGATACAAATTACATACCGATTAATAATATTTTTTGATCTTATTGACATAATAGAAAAAACTGAATTGGTTATTTGAATAAAAAATCATGAGTGCAATTAGTTTTATTAAAATTTTCGTATTTTTAAAAAATACTAAAAAAAGGGCTTGAAGTAATAGATTTTCTCACAAAAGAAGTGAACTTGAAAGGAAAGGAAAAAAGCCGAACCAGAGACCGGACGCGAACCACGAAACTCCGATATCATGCCCGACCGACATCCCACCTGAGTTATTACGATCGTTAGTGATCTGTCAAAATTTACCTTCTTATATTGTAGCAGTTTTTTATTGCTTGAAAACACGGACAAAAGGACATTTTCTAAAAATGAATCCTAGCTAGATCGATTTATTGGCCCCGAAACTCCCTGAACAGAAAATTTTATGAAAATCGTTGGAGCAGTTTCCGAGATTCCGCATATATATATAAGCATTGCTCGTTTAAAGGTATAGGATCTGTATTGAAAATTTTTACTATTGAACAAGTCAGTCAACATTTACGGTGGTACCGTGGATAGATGGTATAAGTTGTAAGTTATACGTTGGCAAAGAGGTTTAAATATACATATACTAACATACTTAAATGTTTTTGTACGTTGGTATGCCGAATTTAATCATGAAAGAAAATCTAACAAAGATAACCATCGCTCAGAAAGCCCTACGTGCTGTGGCAAACAAAGAAATGGTTACATCGAGAAAAGTACCTAGCAGATTATTGTATTCCGGGGTGAAGAAAGAAATGATTTGATAGGTTTTATAAGGTCAATTTAAAGAAATAATTATATTATAGTGTTTTAGCAATGGAAGAAACGTGGCATTATTACGATACCGAAACAAAATACAGTAACAAAAACAGTGGAAAGGACCTCAGATAGTCAAGGAGAAGTAATAATCGAATATTTTAACATGGAGCTACTGTTGCACTTTGTAAGTAGATCTAATAACAAAATGAGCAACTTTTTTCTACTTTATGAGTAACGCCGGCCCCATTTCCGTATCTAAGAAGCAAAAAAGCGCAACTAAATTTGAACCAAAACCATGTAGCAAAATAAT